ACATAAAAATCTTATTGTTTTCTCCTAGTATATTCTTTTTAAAATTATGTGTGTTGAATCTTTATGCAATATTGAGACGTTAAATTATTACTCTATCATCGCAAATCTTCTTGTGCACACACAATATAGAGACACAAATATAGAGACACAAACATGTGAATTTAAAATTAATTAAACATGTGTTAATTTGTTGGTGCTTGCTTTTCTTATTTTTTGTGCAATACATGTTAAGAGTTTTAATGTTAAATTTTAAACTAAATTAAATTAATTAGAACGAGGCGGCAATTTTTTTCTTTGGATTAACTAAAATTGATAGAAGTTTTTACATTGAATCTAAAAGAAATAATTAACATAAAATGGAATATTAGAATGAATAAATTTGTGGATAAGTGTATATTTAATATAAGTTTATAAGGAAATTTCACAACTCTTAACAACAAGATTGATATTGATAGACAAATTAAAAAAAAAAAAAAAAAAAAAAAAAAAAAACATCTGATCGAATAGTTTAAAACGCTTAAATAGAGGGAATAATATATTGTTTTTATATATTAAAGTTTTTTGAGAAAAAAAAAATGTTTATTATGGTTTTTCATTTTATCGCTTTATTTTTAATATAAAATGGCTTTGATTCACCTCCAAATAATCCCAACACAAATCTCAAGAAATTTTTTTAAGAAACAAATATTCAAATCTCGATTAACGTTCCCAACACAAATCTCGACGAGAATGACCCAATGGTACTAACTTTGATCCAATCTAAAACAAATCAAGCCATTTTCAAGCCATTAAATCATGTTTAGAAGTTTTCCGGACACATTTGGGAGGTCAAATAAATGTTAAATCCTGTAAGTTTAGACATCATTAATTCAGAAATCATTAAAGTACCTAAATGCCCATCAAACATCATATGATCGAGGGAAGCCCTCTGAGCCGTCTGATCGAAGGGGTTCATATCCTCACAAATATTACACGTGGTACTTTATAAATAGTGCTGCATCCCTTTCATGAAGGGTAGGGTAACTTGAGATTTTGAGAAGAAATAGAAGTCTAGCACCACTCTTGTTGCCAGTTGCCGTCAACTACCGCCAACCACCGACTGGACATTGACAATCGCTATCGGTTGCCGCCAATTGATGTTGTAACTTTGGAAACCTAGTAACTATTTTCCGTTTGTAGAACAAGTTGTTGCAACTGTAATAATCTTTTCATAGTAAAAATCTTCAGCTTCGTCAGACCTTACAGTTTTTCCCTTTGTAGGTTTTCCACATAAAAACTTCTAGCATCATTATTAGTTGTTTTCTCTTTTCTGAGTGTGTCATAAATTCATACAACGCTATGACAATAATATGCTACTCTACTGCCGTGAATTTTCTAGCTCGCATCAGTTTGACACCGTCTGTGGGAAACTTCAATCCCACCACTAAAGTACTTGCAATGCTTACTACATGGTCACCTGACATAATATTCATGACAACAGAGCGCCCCACTCCAACACCCATCATTTCAGTGAGAAGCCAAGGGCGGCATGCTTTCTCATCTTCTTGCCTTGGAAGACGTTATCCTCCCAACGAAGGCATTTCGGGTCATTCTATAGAAAACTATGTACAGAATAGAGGAGTCTCAACTAGAGATCCTACACCTCCTACATATAGCTCACCAACCACTTCCCGCACAGTTGAATGTTCGTTTATTATCAACTCAGCGACCTATAGGAAGCACACTCCCCTCCCTATGAAGAAGCACTTCCCCTTTTAAATCATGATGCTGAACTCCCCCATACCACCACGTTTCTTTATAGCATAATAATTGAACTATGCAAATT